TCAAGTCATATGACATGAGTCCCCCATCTCTAAAAAAATACTACAGCAAAAATCCATAAACTGTTTAAGGTATTTTCATTAATATATATGGTGACTAATAGTAAAAATACCACAGTAAAAATCCATAATTTGGTTAACAGTAAGTTTCCTTATGGTAAACAACCTGGTTAACAGTGAGTTTACCTAATATATATATGACGAATAACCATACAAATGATACAGTAAAAATCCATTATTTGGTTAACGGTAAGTTTCCTTAATATATATGATAAATATATATGGTAAATCTCTGTAAAAAATACTACTGTAAATATCCATATAATCTGGTTAACAGTACATTTTCTTAATATTTACGATAAATAACCATGAAAATGCTGCAGTAAATATCCATAATCTGATTAACAGCAAGTTTTCTCATATGGTAAACAACAGTAAAAATACTACAGTAAATATCCATTTAATCTGATTAACAGTAAGTTTCCTTAATGTATATATATGAGCAATATCACACTCGTAGTAGTGCGATATGGCTGTATATCGGCACTGGTGGAAGGCGCGCGTTGGCACGAGGCCGCAGTGCCCCCACCAGTGCCGAAATACAGCCTTATTGCACTGCTACGAGTGTGATATTGCATTTATACAACAGTTTGACTACATAATTGTGTATAACTACTTTTTTCCGGATTCAAATCATACACTGACAGTTAAACAGTTGAGCGTGCATCTTTTAAACTTTAGATCTGTAGTGTCTGCTTTTTGCTGGCTGTATGTAGACGGAGTACACAAAGGGTAAAGAGGCTGTAGGAGTTCTGATGTTGCAGAATATCGTACGGCTATCAGCCAATCAGATTTGAGAACCAGACAGAACTGTTGTATAAATAAATATATATATATATGGTAAACAACAGTTAAAATTCTGCAGTAATGTCTATGATTTGGTTAACAGTATGTGACCTTATGATGAACAACCATAAAAAATACTACAGTAAAAATCCTTAAGCTGATTAACAGTAACTCAACATTTGATTAAATATATGAACAAGCTCTTACATTATCAATAACAGGTAAATGTCGATTTTAACCCAACAGTTGGATTTGTCCCTATTTGACCCAACATTGGGTTACAACAACTCAGCAGTACTTTTAATGTATTATTAAGAGGGAAAAAAAAGAAACAGATTTAAGGGGTAATATTTGTTATTGTTTAATAGAAACTGGCCTTTTGAGCAGGCAGATTCTCATTTCTGATCTGTGTTTCTACATTTCTATGATGAGAGTGTATCTGTGAGATGCTTTGTAGATTTAAAATAAATACTTGTTGACAGGACTCCAAGAAAACCACACCAGTCACCATGAAGATGGACCCCAAAGGATTTTACCTGTACTGGGTCAATCAGAGCAAGGTCAGATGATCAAATAATAATAGATTCATCTTTATGTTATGGCTTTAAATGTTAGCATTTTTTAATAAGACAAACCTGCTTAAAAAAGATTTCAAAAGACAAGATATGATGACTTTTGAAAATGAAAGAACACAGTTTTGTTTTACGTTTTGTTTTACATGGAGGACAGATTTACTAATGTTTTACATTCATTAAATTATGTTGGAGATTTTTATCTGTTGAGATAATTTGATGGTATTTTGTTATTATATTTAGGTTGTTTTGGGGCTGTTGTCTTATTATTAATACGATTTCTATACATTTTACATAGAAAACAATTAAAGTAAACTGTAAAATAAATGAAAAAAATCATAAAATCACATTAAATCATTAAGAATCCTTTTTTTGCAATATTAAGCTGTGTAAAATGTTTCTTCGCTCACAGAACTTAAAGTTTATTAAAATAGTTATATGTATAAATGTGTGTGTGTGTGTGTGTTTATATACTATGTACTAAGGTAGGGTGACAGGATTAAATACCACAGTATTTTAACATTAGTCATGATCCTGAATGATTGCCATATTCATGTACCACAGAATTTACATCTTTTTTTAAACAGAGCCGTAATAATGTCTGCAAACCGCAGCATTAGTGTAGGACACCTCAGACGAACCATCTCATCGTGTTTTAGCCTTTGAATTTGGTTTAATTTGACTTGAAATGATCTATTTGCGCAGTATCTGAGGCTGCACCATAAATCCCTGTGGAAAACACTTCACTCCAACTGCTGAAAATAAAATCAGAACATGATGAAGTCACGATTGTGTGGATAATTTACATCTCAATACATAAGATCCATCGTACAAACTCTTGACAATCAATCAATCAATCAATCAATCAATCAATCAATCAATCAATCAATGTGTGTGCGCATGTGTGTGTGCGCGTGCGGGTGTGTACGTGTGTGTGTGTGAGTGTGTGTGTTGAATCTAATTTAATTTAATCTAACCTAATCTAATCTACAATAACATTTGGTTTTACTTGTACAGATAGATAGATAGATAGATAGATAGATAGATAGATAGATAGATAGATAGATAGATAGATAGATGGATGGATGGATGGATGGATGGATGGATGGATGGATGGATGGATGGATGGATGGATGGATGGATGGATGGATGGATGGAAGGATAGATAGATAGATAGATAGATGGATGGATGGATGGATGGATGGATGGATGGATGGATGGATGGATGGATGGATGGATGGATGGATGGAAGGATAGATAGATAGATAGATAGATAGATAGATAGATAGATAGATAGATCGATGGATGGATGGATGGATGGATGGATGGGTGCACGGATGGATGGATGGATGGATGGATGGATGGACGGATGGATGAATGGATGGACGATTGGATGGATGGATGGATGGACCGATGGATGGATGGACGGGTGGATGGATGGATGGATGGATGGATGGATGGATGGATGGTCGGTTGGACGGATGGACGGATGGATGGATGGATGGATGGACGAGTGGATGGATGGATGGATGGATGGATGGATGGATGGACGGGTGGATGGATGGATGGATGGACGAGTGGATGGATGGATGGATGGATGGATGGATGGATGGATGGATGGATGGATGGACGAGTGGATGGATGGATGGATGGATGGATGGATGGATGGACGGGTGGATGGATGGATGGATGGATGGATGGATGGATGGATGGATGGATGGATGGATGGATGGATGGACGGGTGGACGGATGGATGGATGGATGGATGGATGGATGGATGGATGGATAGGTTATTGTTTTAGCATAAGAAAATAAACAATACCCTAAACTAGAACAGAAAGAGTACAGAGGCTATTTCACAAGAATGTCAGACACAGCAATATATTATCATTAATCAAGCATAAGAAAAAAAGATTAAATATAATAAATCAATAATTAATAGAGAAGTGTGCAGGCTCCACAGCTTACTTATGCCAAACCAGTCCAGCCTATAAAGAGTTACAGCATCACTAATGTAAAGCTATTGGACTAACATTTGATTTTACAAAACACTTTGTGCAATTAACTTTCTATAATTGCTAAAAACACTACATTTGTTTTCACAATAATTTGTTTTCTTCAGTTCTACTTTAAAATAATATGTTTTTAGATAATTACGTTTGGTTTTTAAATATTTATTACTTTTTTTAGTTTATTCAGGACCTCAATTTGTTCAAAAATGATTCTAGTATTTTACTTCTTAGTCCCTTTTTGTTTTTTACTAGAAAACTATTTCTAGTATTCTTTTCACACATTTAAGAAATATATATTAATGCCATCACTGTACATCAATAATTGTACAGAAAAATGTATTTATTACTTCGTTTGTATACATTATAGACATCCTTTCCTATGTTTCTCTACATTTGTGCATTTTTGTTGTCCTAAAATGACTGTAAACCTTTATATTTGATCCAAAAATCAAACCCATGACCTTCACATCTACAGTTTGACAGGATGTTATTGCTCTGTTGATCTGTGATGTCACATCCTGTGTGTTTCTGTCCTGCAGGAAACCGAGTTTTTGGACGTGGCCACCATCAGGGACACCCGGGCAGGGAAATATGCCAAAATGCCCAAAGTATGTACCGTAATCATATTACGCAATGTGTGTGTGCATGTGTGTCCCTGTGTATGTGTGCGTGTGAGTGAGTGGTGTGTGTGTGTGTGTGTGTGTGTTTTATTCCTGAGTGCAGTGAACAGACCTGCAGCTTCAGACGTTCACTGTTGCATCTGAGCATTTGTGTGAATTTGCCTTGCAAACAGCAGCGTTCAGCACGTCATACACGACATTTACACACAAATCACAGAAACCACAGTCTGCCTGCTCTCAGAGATGACTTATACATCACTGCTGCACTTCAGGACATTTACCAGAGTACCTGTTTTATTCTTGGAAGATTTGACTTTTGCCTCTCTATAATTTGAAACAAACTATTGCACTTTTTGATTCAATACATTTCCCAAGTGAAGAAGTAAACAACTCCTGTAAACATCAGGAGGACTCCTGTAAACAACTCACTGATTCAAAGGATTTGTTCAGAGTGAGTCTACAGTAAATGACTCACTGATTCTAATGATTCCTTCAGAGTGAGTCTACAGTAAATGACTCACTGATTCAAATGATTCCTTCAGAGTGAGTCTCCAGTAAATGACTCACTGATTGAACTAATTTATTCAGAGTGAGTCTTTTAGTAAATAACTCATTAATTACAGTAATCTATTCAGAGTGAGTTCATTATAAATAACTTACTGACTCAAATTATTTGTTCAGACAGTCTTTAGTAAACAACTCACTGATTCGACTGATCCATTCAGAGTGAGTCTTCAGTAAACAATTCACTGATTCAACTGATCCATTCAGAGTGAGTCTTCAATAAACAACTCACTGATTGAAATGATCCATTCAGAGTGAGTCTAAAATAAACAACTCACTGATTCAACTGATCCATTCAGAGTGAGTCTACAGTAAACAACTCACGGATTCAACTGATCCATTCAGAGTGCGTCTACAGTTAATTACTCACTGATTCAAATGATTCCTTCAGAGTGAGTCTCCAGTAAATGACTCACTGATTGAACTAATTTATTCAGAGTGAGTCTTTAGTTAATAACTCATTAATCACAGTAATCTATTCAGAGTGAGTTCATTATAAATAACTCACTGACTCAAATTATTTGTTCAGAGAGTCTTTAGTAAACAACTCACTGATTCGACTGATCCATTCAGAGTGAGTCTTCAGTAAACAATTCACTGATTCAGCTGATCCATTCAGAGTGAGTCTACAATAAACAACTCACTGATTGAAATGATCCATTCAGAGTGAGTCCTCAGTAAACAACTCACTGATTCAAATGATCCATTCAGAGTGAGTCTTCAGTAAACAACTTACTGATTCAACTGATCCATTCAGAGTGAGTCTAAAATAAACAACTCACTGATTCAACTGATCCATTCAGAGTGAGTCTAAAATAAACAACTCACTGATCCAACTGATCCATTCAGAGTGAGTCTACAGTAAACAACTCTCTGATTCAACTGATCCATTCAGAGTGAGTCTACAGTAAACAACTCACTGATTCAACTTATTTATTCAGAGTGAGTCTTCAGTAAACAACTCACTGATTCAACTGATCCATTCACAGTGCGTCTACAGTTAATTACTCACTTATTCAAATAATTCCTTCAGAGTGAGTCTCCAGTAAATGACTCACTGATTGAACTAATTTATTCAGAGTGAGTCTTTAGTTAATAACTCATTAATCACAGTAATCTATTCAGAGTGAGTTCATTATAAATAACTCACTGACTCAAATTATTTGTTCAGCGAGTCTTTAGTAAACAACTCACTGATTCAACTGATCCGTTCAGAGTGAGTCTTCAGTAAACAACTCACTGATTTAAATGATCCATTCAGAGTGAGTCTTCAATAAACAACTCACTGATTGAAATGATCCATTGAGAGTGCATCTACAGTAAACAACTCACTGATTCAACTGATCCGTTCAGAGTGAGTCTTCAGTAAACAACTCACTGATTCAAATGATCCATTCACAGTGTGTCTACAGTAAACAACTCACTAATTCAACTGATCCATTCACAGTGCGTCTACAGTAAATTACCCACTGATTCAAATGATTCCTTCAGAGTGAGTCTCCAGTAAATGACTCACTGATTGAACTAATTTATTCAGAGTGAGTCTTTAGTTAATAACTCATTAATTACAGTAATCTATTCAGAGTGAGTTCATTATAAATAACTTACTAACTCAAATTATTTGTTCAGAGAGTCTTTAGTAAACAACTCACTGATTCGACTGATCCATTCAGAGTGAGTCTACAGTAAACAATTCACTGATTCAACTGATCCATTCAGAGTGAGTCTTCAATAAACAACTCACTGATTGAAATGATCCATTCAGAGTGAGTCCTCAGTAAACAACTCACTGATTCAAATGATCCATTCAGAGTGAGTCTTCAGTAAACAACTCACTGATTCAACTGATCCATTCAGAGTGAGTCTAAAATAAACAACTCACGGATTCAACTGATCCATTCAGAGTGCGTCTACAGTTAATTACTCACTGATTCAAATGATTCCTTCAGAGTGAGTCTCCAGTAAATGACTCACTGATTGAACTAATTTATTTAGAGTGAGTCTTTAGTTAATAACTCATTAATAACAGTAATCTATTCAGAGTGAGTTCATTATAAATAACTCACTGACTCAAATTATTTGTTCAGCGAGTCTTTAGTAAACAACTCACTGATTCAACTGATCCATTCAGAGTGAGTCTTCAGTAAACAACTCACTGATTCAAATGATCCATTCAGAGTGAGTCTTCAATAAACAACTCACTGATTGAAATGATCCATTGAGAGTGCGTCTACAGTAAACAACTCACTGATTCAACTTATCCATTCAGAGTGAGTCTTCAGTAAACAACTCACTGATTCAAATGATCCATTCAGAGTGAGTCTTCAATAAACAACTCACTGATTGAAATGATCCATTGAGAGTGCGTCTACAGTAAACAACTCACTGATTCAACTTATCCATTCAGAGTGAGTCTTCAGTAAACAACTCACTGATTCAAATGATCCATTCACAGTGTGTCTACAGTAAACAACTCACTAATTCAACTGATCCATTCACAGTGCGTCTACAGTAAATTACTCACTGATTCAAATGATTCCTTCAGAGTGAGTCTCCATTAAATGACACACTGATAGAAATAATTTATTCAGAGTGAGTCAAGTTAATAACTCATTAATTACAGCAATCTATTCTGAGTGAGTTCATTATAAATAACTCACTGACCCAAATTATTTGTTCAGCGAGTCTTTAGTAAACAACTCACTGATTCAACTGATCCATTCAGAGAGAGTCTTCAGTAAACAATTCACTGATTCAACTGATCCATTCAGAGTGAGTCTAAAATAAACAACTCACTGATTCAACTGATCCATTCAGAGTGCGTCTACAGTAAACAACTCACTGATTCAAATGATCCATTCACAGTTCGCTACAGTAAACAACTCACTGATTCAACTTATCCATTCAGAGTGAGTCTTCAGTAAACAACTCACTGATTCAACTTATCCATTCAGAGTGAGTCTTCAGTAAACAACTCAGTGATTCAACTGATCCATTCAGAGTGAGTCTACAATAAACAACTCACTGATTCAACTGATCCATTCAGAGTGAGTCTACAATAAACAACTAACTGATTCAACTGATCCATTCAGAGTCCGTCTACAGTAAACAACTCACTGATTCAACTGATCCGTTCAGAGTGAGTCTACAATAAACAACTCACTGATTCAACTGATCCATTCAGAGTGAGTCTACAATAAACAACTCACTGATTCAACTGATCCATTCAGAGTGCGTCTACAGTAAACAACTCACTGATTCAACTGATCCATTCACAGTGCGTCTACAGTAAACAACTCACTGATTCAAATGATCCATTCACAGTGAGTAAACTACTCATTGAGTGAAGTGATTATTTCAGAGGGAACCTCTAGTGAATGACTGAGACTGTCAGCTTCCAGTAAAAAAAAAGTCACCGATTCAAATGAACCATTTAACAACTCACTGCTTCAAATGAATTTCTCAAAGTGACTCTTCAGTAAACAACGCACTGATTCAAACGAGTTGCTCAGCGTGAGTCTTCAGTAAATAACTCACTGATTCAAATGAGTTGCTCGATGTGAGTCTTTAGTAAACAACTCACTGATTCGAATGAGTTGCTCATAGTGAGTCTTTAGTAAATAACTTACTTATTCAAATGAGTTGCTCAGAGTGAGTCTTCAGTAAACAACTCACTGATTCAAATGAGTTGCTCAGAGTGAGTCTTCAGTAAACAACTCACTGATTTAAATGAGTTGCTCAGAGTGAGTTATCAGTAAATAACTTGTTAATTTCAATAATCCGTTCATAGTGAGTCTCTGCTAAACAACTCACTGATTAAAGTGATCCGTTCAGAGTGAGTCTTCAGTAAACAACTTGCTTATTCAAATGAGTTGCCCAGAGTGAGTGTCTAGTAAATAACTTTTTAATTCCAATGATCCATTCATAGTGAGTCTCCAGTAAGCAACTCACTGATTCAAATTATCCATTTAGACTGACTCTTCATTAAACAACTCACTGATTGAAGTGATTCGTTCAGACTGAGCTTTCTAAAAAAAAAGTCATCGATTCAAATTATCCATTTAGACTGACTCTTCATTAAACAACTCACTAATTGAAGTGATTCGTTCAAACTGAGCTTTAAGTAGCAAACTCACTGATTAAAACGATCCATTTAACAACTCACTGATTCAAATGATCCATTTAGACTGACTCTTCATTAAACAACTCACTGATTCAACTGATCCATTCAGAGTGAGTCTACAGTAAACAACTCACTGATTCAACTGATCCATTCAGAGTGAGTCTACAGTAAACAACTCACTGATTCAACTGATCCATTCAAAGTGAGTCTACAGTAAATTACTCACTGATTCAAATGATTTCTTCAGAGTGAATCTCCAGTAAATGACTCACTGATTGAACTAATTTATTCAGAGTGAGTC